GTGCAACATGTCATGCAGTTATCGCAATATTTTAACCGATAACTAGATGGTTTAATTTAATAACTCTGGTTTGATTTGACCGATTTTAAATAAAATATTTTTGGAATGCTCAGACCATGATTTAAAATTGTGGACAATAATATTACATATATGCTCATCCCAAAAAGTATTTTGGTAAGGTTAAAGGTAAAAAAATTATTGAAAGGGCATTTGATGAGAAAATATGAGTTGAACTTTACAAATTAAAGGTAAATTTTCCAAAATTATGTTTTTCAGATTCAGCTATAACATTTGAAGATCATATATACCGTTGGTTGGCATTGTATTTATGAAAAACCATTACAAGGAAACAAAGGTTGGTACTTTGTATTTAGATCAGCAAAATATTACAATGTCTGTTCAACAGTAACAGCACCATGCTTTACACAGTCAACGATAGCAAATATGTCAAAGATACTGTTGGACTATCATTAAAATCACACAACATAACAGAAAGCTCTCAAATGTATAATTCAATTATTCAAGATGTATTTCTTTATTCATCAAAGAATGATGAGTCTGTCATGTCATCATAACACAAGCAACATTGCCTTTATATCAATTCGTATTTATTGTTCATAATAGTCATAGTGTATTCCCAGTTGACATGTTAGCTAATGTCAACATTGTCAACATCACGGGAACATGTTTTAAGTCTACGAAATACACAACAGGTTCAACCTCTTGCAGCTACACCTTCCTGTACATTGACGTTTACATGCACAGATATGTTGAAGAAGGTCCACGGAAATAATTTAGTCTTAACATATTTGCAACTTTATCACAGAGGAACAGAGGAATATTTGATGAAGATCTTTTACGACAGAAACGTACTGCTTTAAATACAAAACATTAAGTGCCTGCTTTTATGGACAACTCAAAGGAATTCCTAGACAATATTCATTTAACATCTTGCTTCTACTGTAACTTTCATAAAAATATGCTACCTCGGATTTAGTAAATTAAATATATAATGATATACACAAAGGAGTTACAGATAGCATGGTCATGACACTATGAGCATCGATCTTCACAAGTGGGATACGATGGCATGCATCAAACAAGTAAGTGAGAACGACCACCCGATCATATTAGTTCGCTCTTACAACATGGGTTGCTGAACATTAATTTTGGCCCAACATATTTGTGAACCTGTGAGAATGGTTAATGAATAAATGTATAGTCAGTCTCATGATATCTGTTGTAGATCATTTCAAATGCTATTATTGAATGTATGTCGCCAATATTTGTTCTGGTCTCTGCAAAAGTCGTACCTCAGAGAGCCAATTGTCAAGTTACATTTAATTACTGTCAGCTATTCAATACACGCACAGAAGGTGGTATTTAAGTTGACAGACGCTTTAGAATTATATTTGCTCGGAAAACCTTGAATCGTCTATACATATTGAAAGTATTGAGTGACCTCGTCTAGATGGATACTAAAACACCAACTGTCGTTCATTTCCCGATTTCAGTATGTCGCATGACTACGTTGTCCTTCAAGCAGAGTGGAATTGGCTCCGTGAATCACTATCTTCATCAGCTGATGAACGTCGACAATACAACGTCAGCTCTAAAATATTGACAGACTTCACCCAGATGACTATTACGAAGTCGGCTGTAGTCAACTGCATTGTTCCAACAGATATTATGAAACCACCAGGTGTGATCAGCAGAGTGTGTTTCAAATGAAGGACATCTTCTGCTTGCCCAGATCTATGTATTTATCTTCCGAAATATGAACGCTAATATTACTAGGAGATTAGCTTTTTTAAATGCGTTTCCCTCGCTGGTCGCTGGGTTACAGGCCGGGAGAGCCACATTTCCGAAACAGATAGCCAAAATTGATGTGGCTCTCCCGACAATAGTTATGGTTGCGTGAACATGGAATGTGGCTCTCCCGGCTATGCTGTCAAAACATGCTTAGTGATTCAAACAGGTTACCGTATTTAACAAAACAAGACATGTTTCCTCATAATTTTATTCAGATCACAACAGATTTTATTTCTATAATTAGCACAATATAATATATGATATTACATATAATATTATCACATTATAATAAAAAATCTTAATCTGTAAAAACATAATAATAATGATAATGGTTTAGTTTGTTGCCATGTGTACATTTCTCATGAAAACTTTCTGCTGCATTGTGATGCGTGGACGTCCACTTCTTGGTCTATCTACGGTGACCCAAGTCTGTCTGTAGCGCTGAATAAGTCTTATAACCGTGATATGGTGGCATCCGAGGGCGTTTGCGACAGCATTGTATGTCGACCCCATCTGCAACATCCCAATGGCTCTTTCCCTCTCTTCCGCTGTTACTCGTGGCACATTTCTCGTGCTTGTGTATCATATCATGCATTCTTGGGACTCTTTATACCCTATAGAATCATTCTACACGTGAAATTGATGCAAATATTGCTACGTTTTGGCGATTGATATTGCTGTGTGTGTAGATGTTACTGTGCAAGCAAAAATGTTAACAAGATCATTTTCGGTGTTCCTAAACACTTTTGCACAATATCAAAGACACGTTTTATTTGTTTTCACTATTGCAAATAAGCAGAAAATGTTTTAAAAGACTGAATTCATAGGAATGATCCTTTTACATTTTTTACACACTCTACAACAGGTGTTACTTGTTTTAAAAATTGAAAAATGGTGACTTAAAATGGTTTATCTCTGTCTTAAGCAGAATTTTATTTCAACCTTTCTTTTGGACATCTATTTTAAAACACTGTTATTGGTTTATTTCGGCATGGTCGAAAATAGGACTATTTAATCTTCTGAAAAAGATGCAGTTCACCTAAATATGAGTGCGTTTGAGAATTTGATTCGTGATTTGCATAAAGCTGGGTTGTTAAGTTGGTTTTTTTTAAAGCTAATACCTTCTAACATATATTTTTATTAACGTAATTCACATGGTAGGAGGGTAACGTTTCTTTTGGCGTTTAGCGTAGGAACAGTCTTTTACCGGTTACGGTAATCCATTAATTATTTGATCTATTAGAAATGTGGCTTTACCGGCTACAACCATGTACATGTAATTGAAATGTGGCTTTCCCGGCCTGACACCGGTCGCTGGGACCTTACACATGCCAGTAGTCTCATACTCCAAACTTTCGGCCCAACCCCTTCTGTAATGCAATAGTCCAAAGTGAAGCCTGTCTAGACCCCCACAGGGAGTTATATACTGCTATCCAAATTTCCTATTTTCAGAAATTTGTAAAATTGATAAAGTTGCAAATAAGTTAAGGCTAAATCGTTTCCGTGGACCTTCTTCAACTTCATATCTGTGCATGTAAAAATCAATGTACAGGAAGGTGTAGCTGCAAGAGGTTAAACCTGTTGTGTATTTCGGCATGTGGATGTAGACTTAAAACATGTTCCCGTGATGTTGACAATGTTGACATTAACTAACATGTCAACTGGGAATGCGCTATGACTATTAAGAACAATAACTACGAATTGATATGAAGGCAATGTTTCATTAGGATGTCATATTATTATCCATCAGTTTTAAGGGTTTCACGGCATGTCAGTGCAATACTGACACCTATCAAAATATATCTCCTTCTGACATCAGCTGAATTGTTGTTTCTGCCAGAATGTCAATAAACGCACATATGTATGACAGTTCAACAGTATCTTTGACATATATAGTATTGTTGATACTTTGTAAAGCATGGAGCTGAAATTATCTTATATTTTGCACCTTAAAAGGGCCCCTGCACGGTAGTCACGCACGGTAGCTGATGACAACCGTCTTCAAATCAAAGCTAAATCATTCCTGATTGTGAAAAATCACATCCCGTTTGGTCGCCAGAACTGCACCACATTTTCACCATTTTGGGGGTCTGGCTTCTAGACCATGTCCTTTATGTCGATATAGGCCCTTTCGACTGAACCCTGGCTCTGGCGATGTCTAGGCTTACCGTGCACTAGAGTCAAAGTTAGCCAAATCTCCTTCATTTCTTCGATGGTCAATTCGTACTCCAACTCCAATAGGAAGAAATATAATTTTGAAATCACTTTTACTTGCTAAACTTAATCATCTTTTTTCAACCATACCATCACCTCCGGATAAAACACATCTTTTCAGGCAAAATGTTTTAAATTCAAATGGAGAGGTAAACCGGATAGAATCAAAAGGCAAGCTTTAAGCATTATATAGGAATATAGGAATACATGTAGGAAAATTGGTCATTCTGTGTGTGTTGCGCAGCCCTATTTGCGCTACAGTTTGCCTGTGGTTACTGAAATCTTTTCTGGGGCCTTGAATGTTGTAACTTGGATCGCTGTAACGAATTAACGAATTAACGAACTAATACAACAACCATTAACCAACTCACTCACAAGGCGCAATGTGAGAAAATACGTGTTAAAATCATGGACTTTGATGTCTAAGAAACAGGTAGGAAATCATCACCATTGTAGTGGAACCAGAGACCATTTAATCTCTTATATGGTCTCTGGTGGAACACATAAACAAAATTAATATTTGAGTGTATGCATGTCGGGACAGCAGTATGGTCTCTGGTGGAACACATAAACTAATATTTGAGTGTATGCATGTCGGGACAGGAGCATGGTCTTTGGTGGAACACATAAACTAATATTGAGTGTATGAATGTCGGGACAGGAGTATGGTCTCTGGTGGAACACATAAACTAATATTTGAGTGTATGCATGTCGGGACAGGAGTATGGTCTCTGGTGGAACACATAAACTAATATTTGAGTGTATGAATGTCGGGACAGGAGTATGGTCTCTGGTGGAAAACATAAACTAATATTTGAGTGTATGAATGTCGGGACAGGAGTATGGTCTCTGGTGGAACACATAAACTAATATTTGAGTGTATGAATGTGGGACAGGAGTAAATATTCTCGTGAGATTCCTCTGTGGTGCGATGACCATGAAGATGAGAATGACAATGACCATGATGAATATACTCGTTTTTATAATGTATTTAATAACTCATAGGAATAACTATAGAGTGGCAGATTTATTTATGGTACAATGTGTTGATAATATCATGAAAGACAAACGACACTTGTGCAGTATCTGGCAATGTAAGTCAACAATGTTGTAGCTCACCTATATTAGTATTTTAAACTTACAGCAAATGGTAATAACGATTTGAATTAAGAGTAAAGAAATAAGAAATTTCTAAACATCAACACGGTGCGTGTACTTATAATCCTATCACTGACTGACTGAGTTTGGTTTTACGCCGCTGTTAGCAATATTCCAGCAACATCACGGCGGGGGACACCAGAAACGGGCTTCACACATTGTGCCCATGTGGGGATTCGAACCCGGGTCTTCGGCGTGACGAGCCAACGCTTTAACCACTAGGCTACCCCATCGACCCTATAATCCTATCAAACAAGTTGATGCAACCGAATGTTTGCTTTAGAACTTTTGGATGTGATTGAGTGAGTGAGTGTAGGTTAACACCGCGTTTAGCAATTTTCCAGCAATATCGCGTCGGGGAACACCAGAAATGGGCTTCACGCACTGTATCTACGTAGAGAATAGAACTCATTGTTCAATATCAGGCATTGAGTAGAGCTTATTTAACTTACATGAGTCTTGTACAGTATTATTTCATTCCTCGACATAGAAAAACATTTCCATCTGGATTCCTACGGAAACATATCCATCAGGACTATCCTGGAAACATATCCCTCAGGATTATCCTGGAAACATATCCGTCAGGATTATCCTGGGAACATATCCCTCAGGATTATCCTGTAAACATATCCATCAGGATTATCATTGAAAAATATCTCTATGGAAGCATATCCGTCAGGACTACCATGGAACATATCTCTATGGAAGCATATCCATCAGGATTATCCTGGAAACATATCCCTCAGGATTATCAGTGAAACATATCTCTATGGAAACATATCCACCAGGACTATCATGGAAACATATCCCTCCGGATAATCAAGGAACATATTCATCAGGGTATATCACATATACATAATATTATCCTCCAATATCATAAAACAACTGCAACATTTCCATGAGGATTATCTTTGCAACATACCTATCGGAATTTTCATCGAAACATTAATCAGAAGACTCAGATGGGTTCTCTTGCCGTGCCATAAATGTAATAAATATACCCCCACCTCTTGTCTTTCTCAAAACAGATATTGAGTAACAAAAAAAAGAGAAGAATATTCGAAAACAAATTGCCTTAATTAAGACATAGATCGATGCCAGAGGCATAATGTGTCCAGTTTTCTTCCAGACCATGGATAACAAGGTATATACAGAGTCCGAGTTGCCATCAACAGTTCGGAGCATACAGATCTCAATCGTCATCACAGCTAGACCATCATTGCAGAACTTTCCACTGGTAGGAACCCAGCATCAGGGCACCTGCAACCGCAGCACCAGTCAAAGCTAAATGCTGTGTAACGAACGACCTCGGTGTAACGTCTGGTTTCAGTTTCATCACTGGTTTGGGTATGTAGCCATGGCCCAGTGCATTGTAGATCGCCTTCTCTGCTCCACACCAGGCGTGAGGGCCCCACAGTCGGTAGTAATAGGGGAAGGCAGGGCCATAGTAGTACAGGTAGGCCAGTCGGGGTCCGGCCTTGACCAGGTCCCACCAGGTAGGGGCCACTCCCAGTTCCGCGGCCATCTCGTCTCGGATTTTCAGATTTGGGACCTGTTGATGACAAACAGAATGGTATTGTTATATCAAGCAAAACAACAGAAACGCACGTCCTTATTACATGTGAAACTGCAGACAAATCTAGAGATTGAACGATCCATGGATTATTCTAATCCCTGTAAGCTGGGATACGTTGTCATATATATTATATATATATACATTTATTTATTTATTGCCTGTGTCCAGTTGTGGAGTTGTATTACATATATATGACCACCACCACTCCTTTTATTGAGAATAGTTGCAATGCCAACATCCCATGTTCAGCCAAAAACAACTGTGAAATGCAAATTGGTTCGTAAATATTAAAACTTTCTATTATCTGGAATATTTATCTGGTATGAGCTTCACTGTCTATGGTGCCCAAACCTGATTGTCTGGTTTGTTTACATTCAGTCACATGGCAGAAGCGGGGGGTGGGGGTTCGGGTGGGTTGTGTGTTTAAAATGAAAATCATACACATGCAAATTTCACGTCATACACCTGTCATCTTTCAAGAGCGATTACTGTACAAACAACTATGGTCATAAGGAAGTACATGTGGTGATGCACTCTCAAAACATTCATTATAATATCAACACTGATTGACTATTTCGGCAATACCACGGCGTGTTGGGAATCAAACCCAGGTATACGGTGTGAATAAGCGATGCTGTTACCACTGCCCCGAGTGTTACAAGATACGGCCAATGGTCCCAAACATAATTCCCAAGCATAAGTGATTACCTTGTATTTGTAGCGTCTATACTTCCTTATAACAAACTTGTTCCACCTATCTACATCCACCATCATTGTTTCATGTCCCGGAAGTTTGCATCTCCCGGAGAAGACCCTGGCCGCCCATCTGACTTGCATCTCTGTCACCGCAATAACTGTGGACCCGGACTCAAAACACCCGATCAGGGCAAGGGTGTTGTGGGTCAAGGTCAAGGGGAAGGTCATCTTGTACCGGTACTGCTTGTCTGTCCCTTTAGAAAGCATAAAATAGGTTGAATATTACAAGTTCAGTGTGACTTTTGTCTTCTGTTAAGACATTTGTTGTGCAGAGTTGTGCCCCTTATTATCTGTCCAGGTTTGTCAGCACCATAGTGAGTGAGTGAGTTGAGGTTTACGCCGCACTGAGCAATATTCCAGCTATATGGCGGCGGTCTGTAAATAATCGACTCTGGACCAGACAATATAGTGATCAACAGCATGAGCATCGATCTGCGCAATTGGTAACCGACGACATGTGTCAACCAAGTCAGCGAGCCTGACCACCTGATCGCCTCTTACGACAAGCATGGGTTACGGAAGGCCAATATTCTAACCCGGACCTTCACGGGTTCCACCATCAGGTCAGCACCATATCAGTGATGATATCACCAAAAATGAAATCGTTTGAGGCTTACCCTAAATGGGGGCGACCTTCCCACGTCAAGATGGCAAAGCCCTAATAGCCTATAAATACTTCAAACCAGACTCGCTCACTGAAACAAGGTTCAACGTAATATCTGTTCTGTTCTTTTGCACGAAGGGGCGGTGGAGCAGCCAAGTGGTTAAACCATTTGCTCGTCACGCTGATGACCAGGGCTTGATTCTCCACATGGGTACAATGCGTGAAGCCAATTTCTGGAGTCTATCGCCGTGATATTCCTGGAATATTGCTAAAAGCGGCGTAAAACCAAACTCACTCACTCTTTTGCACCCACCTCCCTTTGCTTCGTCCGACAGAAACTGCAATCCAGGCATATACCCTGTCGCAAACAAGATGGCGTCCAGGTCCTTCAGAACCGTGCCGTCTTCGAACTCTGCCTCATGTTCCCCCACACGGATCAGTTGTCCAACGATCTTCACACGACCACAGGCAATTTGTATATGCAAGAAATCGTTAATTATCAGCGAAGTTGACTTCATGGAATTGGTAAGGTTGATCCCTGTTGCAACGTGCTTTATCCGGGAATTAGCCGTGGCGCGAACCATGTTGGCAAAATTGTTCTTTTTTCTTAAGAATGCCCTGCGCTGTGTCGCGTAGCTCCAAGGGACCCCTCCTTCCAACAACCGAGGCACTATGAAGGTTCCTCTCCCCACAGTCATATATACCTGGAACATGTAGGCAGCATGTGAGTGAGCGAGTTTAGTTTTACGCCGCTTTTAGCAATATTCCAGCAATATCACGGCGGAGGACACCAGAAATGGGCTTCACACATTATACCCATGTGGGGAATCAAACTCGGGTCTTCGGTGTGACGAGCGAACGCTTCAGCCACTAGGCTGCTCTACCGGCCCATATGTGCCGTTAATGGGTATAGGAATTTGATATGCACTTCTGTGCATTGAGCGGAACAGAAGAGGTTAATAATGAATTCTCACCCTCGACTAGAATAATTGCACAGCTTATAACTGAGCTCTTTTGCTGTTGACATTACATGATGTCAAAACGGTATTTGCACACAAACCGAGATTAGCTGATCAAATTGAAGATTAAAATTGGTCATCAGCACAAATGCTTGTCCTACAAGGCAACTAACAGAATTGGATGGTCAGACTCAGTGACCTGGTTGACACATATCATCGTGTCCCAATTGCAAAGATGAATGCTCATGATGTTGATCACTGAATTGCCTGGTCCAGATTCGATTATTTACATACCGCCGCCATATAGCTGGAATATTGCTGAGTGAGGCGTTAAACAACAAACAAATAAACAAACATCCCGCCCAGCGACCTCATGCTATAGCTCACCTGTTTTGCTACGTGAGAAACCATCACTGCCAGATCTCCTGCTGAATTCCCAGTACCTGAAACAAACATAATATACAATGATCTACACTAGATTTAATTATTTCCCAATAATTTTATTGTTTTCTTCAAAAGCAATAGGGGCATGCACTACAAGTCGATTGAGATGCCGCAATTTGCATTGCAAAGTAACGTCCCTTGGAAACTCCGGAACCCTGTGATTTTGAGTCCCCTGTTCGCCGCGATTATGTTTCAAGTTTTGTCAGTACCAAGCTGGGCCTTCCTCCCAACTAAGCTCTCATGGTTGCGGTTCAAAACGCAAACTAAAATCACTCATAAAAAAAGCAAACCAAAACATAAGTACACACTAAACATTAATAAAACCACATAGCAGTCATTCAAGACAATCAGCTTCAAATGGTGACCCCCAAAATGATGGTGTGATTGTCACCTTTATAATGGGTAACTTCTTTGTCATTAAAGATAACGAAGATAAACATTAGTCTGATATAATAGCATTTCATTTTTCTTCCCGGGTTGAACCTGCAACACATGGTCACTTCAAACTTCATTCACAAACACACCACTCCATGAAAGATGGGCGGTAGGGTAGCCAAGTGGCTAAAGCGTTCGTTTGTCACGCCGAAGATCTGGGTTCGATTCCCCACATGGGTACAATATGTGATGCCCATATCTGGTGTTCCTGCTGTTGCTGGAATACTGCTAAAACACACTCACTGATTCATTCACTCACTCCATGAAAATACACGCTGTACACGAGAACCAAAAGCTCGACCCCAGTTTGTATTTGTAGACATTTAAAGAGCAAAGATGGCAGACTTAGAACTACTTACCAATTACCAAAACTCGCTTGTTGGCATACTTCGATCCGTCCTTGAAGGTCTTTGAGTGTTCCGTTAATCCCTTAAAATTTTCCAGTCCGTTGGTAATGGGATATTTTGCATCAGAACAATACCCCGAACAGACAAAAACAAAATCATAGACATGCCTGTGTACGACCTCTGAAACATCGGTTGTCTCAATCTCCCATCTCCCCGTTTCCTCATAGTCATCAGACTTCCGGATGTTCCGGATTTTAGTGTTAAAATGGATGTACTTCCGGAGGTGAAACCTGTCGCAGTAACGATAGAGGTAGTCGTGCACATAGGGTCGCGTGGGGTAGGGCGGGACGTCATTGTCGTAGGGGAAGTCGCTGTAGCAGAACATGTCTTTAGGGGTGTTAGTCGTTAAGTTGTCAAATGCCATGGCGCCTTGTCCATCCTGAAATTCTCCAGTGTGGCACCAAAACCCACCTTTAAAACAAAACTAAGTATTAAAACAAGACAGTACTGATCCATGTAGATAGGAAGTTGTAGTGGAATTGAGATTTACCTGGATCATTGCTTTGTGTGTGTGTGCATGTGTGTGTGCATGTCTGTGTGTGCATGCGTGAGAGGGAGGTCTTTTTTGCCTTTGTCTGGTCAAATGCTGGTTTAATAGTACATACAGATACTGTGCCATGGTTTTACAGATACCATGCCATTTCTGATTCCTGGTTGCACATAAATGTTTTTAAAATTTTAATGTGACCCCAGTTTACCTCAAAATGTTTCCGCATTTTATCTTTACTACCTGCCTCAACCATTTTTCGAATATCTGTTTCTTGTTGATCGACGTTGTTTCAGTAAATATGAATTTACGAGTAGATATTGACCTTCAGCATCCTCACCTGAACCATTTGTTGCATTTGCTCATCAAATCTTTAACACATTTAACATGTTGATGAATGTTGACGTTTTAGAGAAACATTGTCTCAATGTATAAGTTTCGTTACATCTCTATTTGATTGAAGTCACTAATGTTGATTAATTATATATAATTATTATTTTGGACCTATTTTTTTCAAATGTACGCCGGAAGTCCGGTGTATATTTTAAAAAATAGGTTCAAATCCTCCATTGATACCTAAATGTCATTTCCAATATTACTACGTTTCTTTTGCCTTTCAGTATATTTGAGTATTAAGGAAATACTTCTGATCATTACCAACAACTAGAAATTGAGATACTAGTTTCTTACCGACATCATCAAACTGTTCCATACACACAGGCTCCAAACCCTCTTCCAAACAGGACTTAATGGCCGCTAAACCTGAGATCCCGGCTCCAATAATCGCTGCTTGTTTCTTCGGCTCCATTTCCTTCTTGTCTCCAATCGGTTTTCACAATCTTCAAACAATTCTTTGAACATTCAATAAAGATTTCACATCAGGTGTCATAGCCCGGAAGTACAAACGTTTATGTTTTATATGTGTACACACACAGAAATTATTTCAGAGTCTCCAGTTATATATTTATACAACCCTTGCATGAATGCGTCATAAATGACTGTCATAAATATACAGTAAATAATTAAATATAAGTGTGAAAAATGTTAATGAGACTTCAGATTGCTGGACCAAACCCAGCCACGTGAGAGATTTCGGTTTGGAAAATGGAAATGGTAAGTGATAACAAGATGTGGGTGATAACATCTTGATAGTTTGCTGGGTCAGCTGTCGGGGGAGATACTGATCAGTTATAGGTCCAGAGTGAGTGAGTGAGTGAGGAAGTGGGTGAGTGAGTGGTTGAGATGGGGTAAAGCCACTTGTAGCACTACATAGGCGGGTCCAGAGGGTGAGGGGGGAGGGTGCAGGGGTGTTTATTAAATGACCAATGAAACTCTCGTGAGAACGGGTGAAAATGAAGTGTGCAGCCCCCTTTCTCAAGAGTGTGCACCCCGCTTTCTCAAAAAGCTGTATCCGCCCCTGCACTAATTCCTTTGCACCTGGCGTGTGAGCTTGTTGTGAGACGAAAGTGAGTGAGCGAGATGAGTTTAGTTTTACGCCGCACTAAGCAATATTCCAGCTATATGGCGGCGGTCTGTAAATAATCGAGTCTGGACCAGACAATCCAGTGATCAACAGCATGAGCATCGATCTACGCAATTGGGAACCGATGACATGTGTCAACCAAGTCAGCGAGCCTGACCACCCGAAGCACAGTCGCCTTTTGTGGCAAGCATGGGTTGCAGAAGACCTATTCTACCCCGGATCTTCACGGGTCTTTCTCAAAAAGCTGTATCCGCCCCTGCACTCATTTCTTTGCATCTGGCGTGTGAGCTTGTTGCGAGACGAAAGTCATGAGTATGTGGCTGAGGAAGTGAGTGAGTGGGTGGGTGAGTGGGTGAGTGAGTGAGGGAGTTAGATGAGGGAAAAGCCGCGTTAAGCACTGTTTCCGTTACATCTGGCCTGGAAAGCCAGGGGTGATGCGGGTCTTGAACATTTTTCTTTCACCATCAGTATCTACAAACATTGCTAAACATTGTGTATCTGTTTACATCTCGGTACTCTTGAAAATGAGTTTATCTATCATCTGACCTGGGATCTGTGAAGATATGTGCTGGAACTGATCGTCAGTAACCAATGCTTATCATCATTTATCTGTGAATCTAATAACATTGACGCCGAGTATATATTTTCTGCTGATAAAAATCCACATGCATGTTAACAAAAGCCACTGCAATGCAAAGCCTTCATATACATTTTATCACAACGCTCCATTGAATTGAAGAGAACATTTATATACACCTGCATAATTTCTCTGAAAATATGTAAATATATCTTCATAATTTTTTTACAAAAAAACATGGTAAACTGCTAAAGCTGATAAATTTTCTCAATATTACTTGTCTGTGCTCACCTTAAAGGGAATGGGTTTTGGATTAGTGGTTTAGTACAGACATACCACGTGGGTTGATTATCGGGTCAATATCTGGGGTTATTAATTTTTGTGAACAACCTCTGCAGGGACTGGTTATCAAATAACCAACCTTCTCCAGAGGTTGGTTACCATATATAACCCCCTAGGACTTTAATAGAGTTGGTATTTCACAAGGTTATAACATGACACACTTTGGATGAATAGTAGCATCAGTGATGCCCAGAATGAGGGAAGAGAGAGAAGCTAGTATGATTCCAGGCTGGGCTGCATACAATATTCTTTGCTGTCTGAATGCAAGACAATGACAAGTTGGTGATTTGCCATTACCTTCTGAAGTTGCTCACAAATGGTCAGCACCACTCATGGTAATGATACAGGCTAAGAATCTGAAAGAACTGAAAAACTGGAACTGGAAAAGATCACCAAACTGTTATATCATTCGACATGGCTCTATACGAATTGTTAAACTTTTTGATTCCAGTCCTAACTTGAAAAGACTTTTAGTGCTCGGACCTGGTGAAAAGGCATGTTGTTGCAATGCCCAGACAAGTTCAAGTTCATCAGCTACCTTGAGGAGCCGGGTAAAAGTCAAATCATCAGGGATCCAGAAATGGCCCCTCAACTTGACCAAAGTAATTTTACAGTGCATTGCTGTAGTTGATGGTATGGTTTTCCTTCAGAAGATGACACAGTTACCTCCTGTAGGAGACAGTAAAGGGTCTAAGTTCAGTGTTTCAATAACCGACTGATGAGCCTTACAAGAGAATTTGATGAAGTCATTCTTGTGTTTGATACCTATAAACCTGATTCACTTAAAAGGGCAACCTGAGAAAAACGACGTCATGGCAAGGATCCGGTCCAGAACCAAATAACTGATGAAACATGAATCAGGCACATCACATCAAAGAGATTCTTATCTCATGACCAACCAAGGATGACCTTGCAGAGTACCTAGCAACATAGACCATGGAGTACAACAAGGATTCATCAAAGCTCTTCATCACTTCGGCATCAGGTAACACAGCAGCATCAACTTGAGTCAAACAACCCATTTTGTTTTTGGGAGGTAGGGGGATCATCAACTTTGTACATACAAAATGTTAAAAAAAAATGCTTAAAATGATGTGAAGGGCATAATTGTGATTAATTCACGTTCTTTTGCCGAACAAGATGATTGCCAGCATGACAAGACAAATTTGAAGGTAAGAATCTAATGCAATAAGTCAGACCAAAGAGTATGTTGAATCCCTGTCATTACTAAACACCATTTTAAGAAAAATTCAACATTTTTTAATGTTACAGTCTCAATGTGTAACTTGAGAATCTTGATATTTGTTTATATCACTGGTCATTTGAATTGTGACGGTAGTGACTTGCGGTGATAGTAATGACAGTATCACCCCACAGATCATGATGAAGTTCATACTTGGGCCAACATAGTTGTTGATTTATACGAGAACATGTTAAATACCCAAGAAAATATATGCCTAGTCAGCAGGATATGTAAAGAAAGCGCAACAAGTTACAATTCCATTATAATCCAAATATCATACTGATGGTGAATTGTAAGAGCTTGTTGCATGTCTTACTATCTTGCTTAACACAAAGTGTTTCATAAATATGGATTCCATTTTTGTTTGAAACGTTCAAAGTTCATAAGGCTATTGAGGTTTGTTGTTTCTTGATTGTTTATAGGATTAAATGTAAGCATTAACTGAACATTGTCAGCAGTTATGGGAATAAAGAATTCCTGCCCATAACAACGACTTCACTTTGAAATTAAAATTTTATTTCCGCTTTAAGAAGACTTTTTAATTTTTTTTGTTATGTTTACATAAATGGTCCCGTCATAATGCAGTTAAATAGTAAACTAGGTTACATGAATGCATGAAATGATCTAAATCATTTATCTGTTGAAACAGATTTCATGGGACATTAAGCGGCAAGGTTATGAAACAACGTGAATGAATCATTGCAGCTACTCAGTCGTGACACCAGGTGTTCGCGTGAACAGTTAACATATCTTGCTCTACCAGTAGATCTCAAGGTGAAATCATTGTTGTTTTCTTGTGGATTCGCAGAGGTTTGGATTCAACAGGGTGTTGGATGGGCTGATTTATTCCTACATCAGTTTAGGCAAAACAGAGTGAGTATGGTTTTTCACGCTGATTATTCCATCACGGCGGGGGACACCAGAAATGGGCTTCACACATTGTACCCTTGTGGGGACTCGAACCCGGGTCTAATTCAGTGTGACGAGCGAACGCTTTCCCTAAAATTTATGTACAAAGTAAGTGACACCCCCATCCCCCGCGTGTCATGTACAAAATCAATGCCCCCTCCCACCGTTCCAATAAATATTAAGCATAATTATAAAATATTTGTATGTAAAAAAGTGCTGACCCCCCTAGTCCATGTGACTAGAAGTGCAGCAAGAGGAATTGTCAGCTGAGTTAAAAAACAACAACATCGATCAAAGGTGAGGTGAGGTGAAATTGGGTTTTACGTCGTGCTTGAGAATATTTCGCTCATATGACGACGTATTATGCGTGTGTATGTGTATGTGCGGCTGCTTGTACTAGCTCAGACTGAAGCTGGTTTCATAGTGCTAGCCCACTGAGATACCATGCCGCAGTGAAGCATGAATACTCCACTCAGACACAATATACTGACTCCGAGCCGACCAGTCCTTGTTGTACCCATTAACGCCGAGCGCCAGGCAGGGACCAACAAGTACTATATTTTAACGTCTTTTGGTATGACGCAGTCGGGGATCGAACCCGCGACCTTCCTCTCTCCGGGCGGACGCCCGATCAAAGGATTAACCAATAACACGTTGATTGCTCACTATTATACTGGGACTCTCTATTATCGCGGCACGCGAAAACATCGGGAAAGCAGAAACACCACGCCCCGCATCGGCTGTTTACATATGCAAATTACGTAAAATATATTCATCGCTCTTGAAAAAGTCATTTATTTCATTGGAATGTCATGTCTAATCGTAGAAATATTAAAGCATTCATCTTTTCAGTAAGTTCTGGAACATTTTGAAACTAGTATGACCCCTACTGCCATTACATCTAGCATGAATCAAAACTTACTTCGTCAAGAGTAATCCTGCGACAACTATAAGGTCATTTGCATATTTTCCGTTGCTAAAAATGTAACAGGAAGTGACGTATTATGCAACTTCACTCTACACACGGCAGCAACTTGTATGGTACGTTTTAAGGCGGAAAAACAATATTTTGTAACGTTATTGTTACCTTGTATCCAAATGAATAGAAGTTTCAGATGTTTGGGTTAAAAACATGATGATATTACTAATGTGAATGAAATTCCTAAATATTTTTAATGATCAAACTATTTAGATTCGTTACTTGTCTTAGTAAACGTTTCACAGTGTCATCTGCTTGTACCGCGTGCCATAGTAAGAAAATAGCAATACCGCGATAATAGAGAGTTGCTTCAATTTCCGGGTCAAACGAGACAATCGGAATTGCCGCAATGGTATTAAACGAGTTGCGACTATGTGTCACATTATTTGTGACAGAAATGAAGATTAAACATCAGTCAACTGAAAATATATATAAAATGCTAAATGTCAGTAGCCGTTCATAATCCCGATGGCGACAACATTAACTACCGCGATAATAGAGGGTCCCATGATACAGCCGAGAGTGGCGCTGTCACATGTTTTGCACATGGCTTTGAACATAACGCACGTGCCCCTCGTGGAACGGAAACAGTTTTCGTTTTAATGGGTTCAGCTGAACCTATGAATAAATATCCGTGCGTTCTCACCTGCTTTCGCTTCATATGTGAGTATTTGTAATACATATTTGTGTCCCAATAACAAAAGCAATTGTTTTGATAAAATGCGACGTAAAATGGCCAGTGGCAGGAGTCCTCATTGAAACTGGGGAATTTAGTATTCAAATTACATCCATGTTTCTCATTTTTTGTAAAAATAAAGATAAAAATAAAAATAATTTTCATCTGTAAAAAGACATCTGTGTCGCTTGCCTCTGATGTTACAGGTCCATTTATGATATCCTGTCAGACGCTCGTTATGCTTGAACACGCACAGAAACAATACGCTGTTGTCCCACAAGCAGTGTGAACTGTCAACGGCGGGACATTGACAAGCACAGGCTCCTCGTGCACTTTGGGTATGCAACACGTGATCTACCTTGAGAAGACTGAATGAGCATTCGTAACTACTCTTGTCATTCTGGCAAGCCGTCTTGTAGGTCACGGAAAGAGGCGAGTAGTTACGAATTACTGAATGAGCAGACGATCGGTTGTATTCGATTCCGTAACCTGAAGGAAGACTCGTACCGCTCTCGTAGCCATGTCCGGCTAGATATATCCCCCCAGCCAATCAGAATAATTTCCTACTGAAGAAATTGGGTCAAAATAGGTCTTTGAAATATTTTTCATTTCGGCTTGCACATTTTTTCTCCAGACACTTCAAGTATATTCTAATTATTGTATTATCATTATGCTAACATTTGTATAGCGCCGATATCAAGCTCAGCTGAGCTGCTCAAAGGCGCTTTGTTTTTTCCCCTCGATCACTGGATGTCAATCTCAACGGCACGTCATATTATCAATCTCAACTCCCTGGGGATCATACAACTCTTGCAGCCACTAGGCGCACCGAGTTAGTGTGGCTTTCCCATCCTTACGAGGTACCCATTTACAGCTGGGTGGACTGGGACACATAGTGACAGTACTTTGTCCAAGTTTACTGTTGCTGTACCCGCAACTAGGTGTTTGCACGTATCCATGTGGCCACCATCTGGTCATATACCAACGGATTCGTGTGTTCTTTTAAGTGCACAATATTGTATAGTCCTCCTGGGTTTCCTGATTTTTTTTATAACCAGGATATATTAACATTATGGCGTAGGAAAGTATTTAAGCATGTTAAACATACCATTTGAGGTAATTTCCTTGGCGTGGATGCCATGTGTGTTTTCCAAGGGGGATGGGGGTGGGGGTGCACACTATTGAGAAAGGAGGAGTCCAGACTTCATTTTCACCCGAAGTTCAATGGTCATTTAATAACCTTTCAGGGCAAAAGGGGGTGGGGTGCATACACCCCATTTGTCCTGCGCACCCCTTCACACACACACGCACGCACGCACGCACACGATCCGCCTATGCAGTAACCCATGCTTGTCGAAAGAGGCCACTAACGGGATCGGGTGGTCAGGCTCGCTGACTTGGTTGACACATGTCATTGTATCACTGGATGTCTATTTATCACTGGATTGTCTGGCCTCGCCTCATTTATTTACATACCGCCGTCAGTAGCTGGAATATTGCAACAACCCAACCAATCAACCACTGTTGCGACGAGGCGATAGCACGTCGTGGATCAGAAGGTCCGTGGTTCGAATCCCAGCACGGGACTCGGATACTTTATAGCCCCTACACTTTCATCAACACTTTATCCCTTTAATCACTGCTTTTGAATTTGTTTTGCCATTGTATATCCTTTCTAGTGATTAGTATTGGTCTGAAAACGTAGTTAATTTACAAATTGTGAATGCAATTGTTAGAAATATCACACTGTTTGCTGGTTTTGTATATTTTTTTTACGGACTGATTTCCGGTTGACTTTTATTTTCCATGGGAATTAACACGTAACAAACATGAATATTTTAAAAAGATTTTTTTTGACAGTATCAATATTTATTACAGATATGTTACAGTAATGCATAAGCATATCTGACAGCAAAATATTAAATTAACATGAATATTTGGTAAATCGTTATTACTCAATAAGAACAGTGCGGTCTCGAACCCCCATCATTCGGAGAAATAAATATTTTTAAATAAAGATCACAATGTACACTGTTAAAAGTCTGTTTCCGTCTGTTTGACTTTCCACGTTCCCAGGGGCGTTTGGGTAGCCAAGCGGTTAAAACATTCTCTCGTTCCGTGTTCGATTCCCTGCATGGGTACAATTTGTAAAGCCCATTTTTTGGTGTCCACCGCTGGGATATTGCTGAAAAGCGGCGTAAAGCTTAACTCACTCACTCCATGTTCTGGACTGTTGAGCACAATGTCAGTGACCCAGGGCGTTGAAGATGGCTAGTTTGGCGTCCGGCCATGTATTTGGACCCCACATACGGTGGAAGTAAGAGAAGGCTGGACCATGGAAGTACTGATAGGCCAGTCTGGGTCCAGCCTTGACCAGATCCCAACAGGAAGGGGTGACGCCCAGTTCCTTGGCCAACTCGTCCCGGTAAGGAATGTGGGGAAGCTAAAACATAGAAGACATATGCAGTTAAACACTCTGGGTGTGTCGAACTTTGATCAGTCAAACTGACGGTTGTGTCGAAGAACAATCTTGCTCCTTGTGTATTCCTGTAGTCATTAGTTTGCGGTTGTGTCGAAACTCGGATATATTAGTACCCCCAATTCTTCGATAAAACGGTGTTTGTATCTCGAAAAACATGATATTTAACTGCAGAACTCCACTGCTCAACCTCTGATGGTAGTGAGTGAGTTTTAGTTTTACGCCGCTTTCAGCAATATTCCAGCAATATCACGGCGGGGGACACCAGAAATGGGCTTCACAAACTTCTGATGGTAGTGAGTTCAGCAATTTCCAGCAATATCACGGCGGGGGACACCAGTAATGGGCTTCACAAACTTCTGATGGGAATGATCAGAAATGTCATATATATTGAAAGTTCCATTTGATATTTGAGAATTAGTTTGAGCACAAAGAAAAGATGAAAATTATCAAAAAATAAACACATATTTTACGACGCAATAGCATTTTTTCAGAAGAGTCTTTTAGATTTACGGCTATCAGCATAATGTGGAAAGAGAGCCCTGATGTGAGTCAGGTCGGAAGGAGGACATTTACTACTGTAGTGAACCCTACGTATCATGGCGATTCGAAACTTCCAGCATCGGACCCTGATACGCACAAGGGACACAACTCTTCACGGCGAATTACACTGCATTAAACTACTTATGCCAACCCCAAATTACACGATTGATCCATCCATTTTGAGATAAATGAAAATAGGTTGATTGAAAAGCAATTCCGAAAATATAATTTTGGTTGGTTGGTTGGTTTGTTGTTTAACACCGCACTCAGCAATATTCCAGCTGTATGGCGGCGGTCTGTAAATAATCGAGTCTGGACCAGACGATCTCGTGATCAACATCATGAGCATTGTTTTACGCGATTGGGAACCTATGGCATGTGTCAACCAAGTCAGCGAGCCTGACCATCAAATCCTGTTAGTTGCCTTTTAGGACAATCATGGGTGCTGATGACCAATTGTATTTTTCAATTTGATCAGCTTATCTCGGTTTGTGTGCAAATACCGTTTTGACATCATGTAACGTCAACAGCAAAAGATCTCACTTATAAGCTGTGCAATTATTCTAGTCGAGGGTGAGAATTCATTAGTCGCCTCTTACGACAAGCAAGGGTTACTGAAGATCAATTCTAACCTGAAAATATGATATCCAAGTACATACCCTGTATTTAAAACGGCCATATTTCTTCAGAACGTAGTCATCTCTCTTCCTGATGTCCTTCATCTTGACCTTGAGATGAGGAAGATGGTGTTTACCGTTGAACACCCTGACAGCCAGTCGACACTGGAGCTCAGTTACCGGGGGGATAGGTCCGTCTGGGTCCATGCAGCCGATCACTGCCAGGCTCTGTTTCGGCAAGACGATGGGGAACACCATCTTGTAAAACGGAAGGTTTCCTTTATCTGGAAGGATAATTCACCCCGCGTCAGTAAAATTGCATATTGTTTTTTTTGTACTTGAGGTGACTACAATTTTTACCAGGCTTACAGCATTGCCATGATTCACTGTGGCTTGCTGTTTCACATCTCACTCAGCAAGAAACTCCAGCTATATGACAGCTGTCTGTAACCAACCAAATGATTGACATCATGAGCATCGAACTACGATGAGATGCTTCAAAGGTGTCTGTGTTCATGACCACAATATCCCGTTAGTCTCCTCTCACGACCGGATAACCGGTATTCCACTGTGAGACAAGTTGGTTGGAATATAATTACAACTGAAAAGACGACGAACCCGGAGGAGATCAACAACAACGCACCTACGCACCAGTAATAGTAGTAGTAGTAGTAGTTGTAGTAGTAGTAGTAGTAATAGTAATAATAATAGTGGTAATAGTAGTAGTAGTAGTAGTAGTAGTAGTAATAGTAATAATAATAGTGGTAATAGTAGTAGTAGTAGTAGTAGTAGTAGTAGTAGAAGCTGTAGTAGTAGTCGTCCACATCACTCCGGGACATGCTCTAAGCGCATAGTAGTAGTGGAGGTGGTGGTGGAAGAAGAAGAAGACGACTGACTGATTGAGTATGGTTTTACGCCGCTTTTAGCAATATTCCAGCAATATCAGGGCGGGGGACACCAGAAATGGGCTTCACAAATTGTACCCATGTGGGGAATCGAACCCAGGCCTTCGGCGTGAGGAGCGAACGCTTTAACCACTAGGCTACCCCACCACCCAGAGGAAGAAGAAGAAGAAGTATACATAGTTATCCTTACCTCCCATAATGTTCTCATCCAGGAATTCTAACTTCCAGTCGTATCCAGTGGCAAACAAAATGGCATCCACGCCCTCTACCGGACCTCCGTCCTTAAATTCAGCACACTGTTCTCCGAGACGAACTAGCTTTCCAACAATTTCGATTTTACCACATAAGATTTGTAACTGGATGTCGTCGTTGATCATCGTCCTGCTCCGGGATGGAGGTTGAGGTGGAGCCAGACCTGATGCTTTGTGGTCGATGCGGGAGTTGGCGATGCTGCACATGAGGCCGTCTAATCTTGACACACTCTTGTAGTTGGACCTTCGGTGTATTAACTTGTCAAGGGGCCTGCCCCCTGGAGCCACCCGCGGCAATACCCATGTACCTTGCCCAACGCTCAGGTAAACCTGGAAATGAAGACTCCATTGTCATCATCATCATCATCATGTCACGATAAATAACGGTACCTCCACATAGGTTATAAACATGTACATTGTCCAACGATCAGGCAAACCTAGAAATGAGGACATTCTCTTCCTCATCATCACCACTATCACAATCGATCATCATCATCATCATCATCACCTCCACCATCAATCATCATCATCACCACCGCCACCATCGATCATCATTATCATCACCACCATCACAATCATCATCACCATCATCATCATCAATATAAAGCGATATAAACGATAACGCCACATAGGTAAGATACTTCCAGTACGATATCTCAGACATCACTCAGTAGAGAGATTGACTCTTTGTACAAGCTGTGCACAAGGTGAAAGGAGTCAATATTTAGAAAGACTGAATTACAGGAACGTCCTTACCAGCTCTTGTACTACACTACTCGAATGAAGTCAAACAACACACGATTTGTTCATGTAGGTCTATTTAATATGTCATGACCATGATATGAAACAATCTGGTGTTCCTTACCTTCTACTGAGTACAACGTAGCATATATTACACATACCATATAACACAGCACACTCCACACGTGAAGATCCGGGTAAGAATAATTATTGATCTTCACTAAGCGATGCTTTTCGTAAGAGGTCACAAGCGGGTTCGGTGGTCAGTCTCGCTGACTTGGTTGACACAAGTCATCATATCCCCGCTATCACTGGATTGTTTGGCCCAGATTCGATTATTTACAGACCGCCGCTATACAGCTGGAATATTGCTGAGTGGGGCGTTAAACAACAAACAAACAAACAAACAAAACACCGTATACCGACTCTAGTCGTGATGATACAAATAGAAGGGCGATAAATATGGTGAACCCTTACCTTTCGAGCGTACCTTGATATTTCTACTGCAATTTCTCCCGCAGAGTTGGAATTACCTGACAGAAAGTAAAAGAAATATCATGGGTGCGTCCATCTTGGTAATGGAGGCCATTTTGAAAAATAAATCGCTTGGATCCCTATTCTTATTATACGCTTTGACGGAAGAAACGTGGAAGAGATGCCAGTTTCAAAATGACGGAAACTACTTTTTGGGTTGGTGTTTTTATTCATGATAAATGCTGTATTCAGTTTCGCGAACTGGTGCCATCACTGAGTTCAGTGATCCATTCAAAACAATTCCCTGCTGTTTGTCAATTTACACCAAACGGATTTTGTTTCTGAGGATAGTCAAAGCTGGGTATCATTTTGCACTGACACTTTATATCTATAACAGTGAGTAAAAAACTTGCTTGACGAATGTCATCGTATCCCAATTTCGTAGGTCGATGCTCATGCTTTTGATCACTGGATTATCTTGTCCAGACAACCGCTATGTATTATTATCATTTTTTGTTCTTATCCTTTAATATATATTTTGATTTGGCGCGTGGTCCTGTGCTCAAAGCTCAGGCCACAAATCGGTGAAGTTAAGTAGCGTCGAGCTCGGAGAGTCCTTGGGTGGGTGACCGTATTGGGCAGCTTGACTCCAGAGAGTTTCTAGGACTTGACTCCTGCCCCACAACGAAGCACATGTGACACATGTGGTCTCACCTTAGGCAAGTAAGAATGTTCAAAATTGTGACTGAGTCGAAATGGGAAAGGTCATATCGCTAAGGTGGCATCGACCAATGGCAGAACAGTCATGATTAGCAATGAAACTGATATGAATGGATCAATGAAATTCAATGATGCCACCCGGTGTTAGCGAAAAGGATCAGCTTCTCCTGCGCTTCCGGTTAGAGCTTTCTGGGAACGTGCTATGTATTCACTGAAGTGCGTGTTCATACATCTGTACACAGAGAGCATATAAAATACAACGTATATAAGCGGTCCTATAATATTATATGAAACCAGTGTTGCCTTAATTGGATCAAGTGTTTTGCGAGTTTTGATAAATTTGGTGATTTCAAGAGACCTCCAACCATAGACTGTGCAAATCAGGTGTATTGTGTCATGAATAGTTCTTCACTATTAATAAATCATATTGCATTACGACAAATCATATCTAAACATTGACGTCATCAGCCTGATAGTGTTGGGTTTTGATATGAGAAATAATCATAAAACGTTTGTCATTTAAATAAATTTTCACAATTCTACAATAATAACACAAGTTGAAACAGCCTACCAACAACCAGTACTGTTTTTTCTCTGTACTTTTGACCGTTCCAAAACGTCCTGGAGTGATCTATTGGTCCCAGAAAGGAAGCCAGCCCATCAATGTCAGGTATTCTCCCATTCTTGAAGAAGCCAGAACAGATCAAAACATAGTCAAAGGTTGAAGTGTCCTCCCCTTCATCGTCTTCTGTCTCCACAACCCACTTTCCGCTGACTTCATAATCATCTGACCTCCGGATTTTCTTAACCCTCGTTCCCAGTCTAATGTGCTGTCTGAGCTTGTTGCTGTCGCTGTAACGTTGTAGGTAGTTGAATATGGAGGCGTTTGTCAGACACTGGGGCGTGTCGTTACTGAATGGAAAGTCGCTGAAGGCGAACATGTCCTTGGAGAAGATGGAGATGAGATTCTCATACGCCCTTGCTCCCTGACCTTCTCTGTACTCTTTTGTGCAGTTCCATAAACCTCCTTTGTAAGGAAATAATCGGTCGCCATGGTAAAATTTTCATAAACGAGAACATGATTCTTAAGAGTACACAAGGCAAGGTAAACTAGAGGGAGTGAGTTAGAATTAGAAGTCACACGGTAGTATTACAGCCATATCGCGACTACTTTACATTAGAACAAGAGGATGTGGTGTATTTCAGGACTTAGAAATACTGCATTTAATTTATTAATACTTACACTATTGTATGTAAAACTCTGAAGGTATCTTTAACCTAGTACATTTCAATATAACACCTAACCTTATTTGTTGATACTTAAACCCATATTCATCAAACAATTTGTTTGGTTTTAACAATATTCCAGCAAGATCACGGCGGGGGACACCAGAAATGGGCTTCACATATTGTACCCATGTAGGAAATCGAACCAGGGTCTTCGCCGCGACGAGCGTACGCTTTAACCACTAGGTCACCCTACCGCCCTATTTGTATTGCAATTGTCAGTGACCATTTGTGTTTTGCGAATTGTGATGTTCATTCTCTTGTTATTCGTGGCGGTGTGTGTTTGCTCGTCACGCCGAAGTCCTTGGTTCGATTCCCCACCTGGGTACAACTCACTCACTCACTGAAATAACGGGTTTGTAGAATCTGTAAAGTGTAATCTCACCAATGTTGTCAAACTGTTCATAACACGTGGGTTGCAGGTCTTCCTCCAGACAAGACTTCACGGCAACGAGTCCTGACACACCCGCACCAATGATGGCGACCTTCTTCCCCTTGTACATCTCGCTTTCCGCGTCCAACACAAAACCCAAGTCAAGTGACATTTAATTACTCTTGGTATCATTTTATACAGAATCGAATAATGTACGTTTGTAATCACATATAAACAAGGAAGGGAACTCGCGATGACAGGTCGACAATAAAGCCTTTCTATAATTATTTGCTGCCAGTCAGCAGTAACAACAGAGCGATTTCTGTCAATGGGGTGGTGTCGCAGGAATGACAATTGGTCAGCGTGGGTCAAAAATGAATAATATCAGGTAGGTCGCTCTGGGATTATGGAAAACAAAGGGAGAGCAAGGTTGTCTTCTCAAAAGTTGTATGTGATTTAAACAGTCTTTTATTTCCCGAAAGACATGTAATATTATAATACATTAAGCATCAACAATTTACAAAAGGAAAAAGGATCAGCAAACAGGCTGCATCAGCCTATAGATGTAAATGCCTCTCCTAAACATACACTTATACAGAAATAGTTTATAAATACATTTGTGGAAATAACGAATTCAATTATTTCAAACTAAGTACATATGGTACCACGCTTTACGGAAAACGGTTGGTGTCATTCAAGAACTTATAAACCGTATATAAAAATATAAAAAAGATTTAGGTTAGAACAGTTATGTTAGAACGGGTAAGTTAGAAATGTATGTTAAAACAGTGAAGGAACCAGCCGAAAATGATATTTCTATTCTTATGTAATAGATTACATACGTATACAACTACTATTACAACTGGGAGTCGATAACGCAACAATTCTAAGTGTCATCAATGTTACATTGGTGTAGAATCATTATCACGCAAACATCACTTATCATCATCATAATCATCATCATCATCATCATCGTCACCATTCATTGACATCATCATCATCACCATCCATTGACATCATCATCATCACCTTTCATCGCCATCATCACCATCACTATTCAATATCATGACTATTCTTCTTCTTCTTCATCATCATCATCATCATCATCATCATCATCATCATCATCACTATTCGTCATCATGATGACCATCATCATCACTATTCGTCATCATCATCATCTTTCATCGCTATCATCATCACCATTCGTCGTCATCATCGTTACCATCACCTTTCAATATAATCACTATTCTTCATCGTCACCATCATCATCACCATTCCATATCACTATTCATCATCGTCACCATCATCATCATCATCATCATCATCATCATCATCACCATCATCATTACCATTTTTACTATTGTTATTACCTATAGTATTAACTGATTTCAATAACAATGTAATTCTGTATTAGATTGGTTGGTGTGTTTGTTGTTTAACGCTGCACTCAGCAATATTCCATCTATATGGCAGCGGCCTTCTATACTAGAATAATGCATGGGCATAAACCTACAATTCCTATGTGCCATCGTGGAATCTAGCCAGTCTGCTGAATTGAGATGAGGTTTCAACTATGAATCCTAATATTAGCGCAATCCACATATATTTATAACAGTAAAATAAAAAATAGTCTTTCGAACATCATACGTGTAAACTATACAATGATACTTTGTGCAGTAATAACAGCATGGTAAACAAACCCTTGCTTCCAAGCATTGTTGTTTTTTATCAATCATCACACTTCAATACCCAATCTTCAACAAAGACTGCAGATAGGAATCCCACTCTGGTGCTGTGGAGAATGCACATCGAAGCATGCATATATTGGCTGTTGCTTCAGGCATGACATTCTGTATGCATGTTAAAAAGGAACTATTGATCAGCCGGTAGATTAAACAGTTAGAATGGTTGTCGAAACTGTAACAATATCGGATACTCATAATGATTCTGATTCTGAAACATGTACAGCATAACAAGAATGAGAATAATAATATCGATTTAATCATTCCTGCAGGCGACGATTTTTAAAGGTCTGTCAAGTGTATTTGACAGATTGTGACTGAGGGTTACTTTGGGAGGGCACTTTGAGTTTTCAATGATTATATTGATCATTTCAAATAACTTTTACCGTTATTTTGCCATATAAGCCCAATGGAATCTGTTTCGATGGATAATCGAGACTGGTTTTACCCTAGTGTTGACGTTTAATTTTAAAAAAGATAATCAAAAAGTATAATCAAGAATGTACACTGAAAAATCATTTCTAAACGCAGACAGATATAATCGTCTGGCTAGGTGACCGTTCATAATCTATAGCTAGGTGTGTGTGTGTGTGTGTGTGTGTGTGTGTGTGTGTGTGTGTTGCTGATTTTTGTGGAGAAGCACGTACAATGTGGATGCCCCCCCCCCCAAAAAAAAAAAATGTATGTACAAAGTAAGTGACCACCCCCTGCATGTCATCAAAACCAATGACCCCTCCCCTTCCAATAATTCTAAAATCTTTTTAAGTACAAAATTGCTGGCCCCACTAGTACATGTGTACAAAATTGATGACGTTGATGACCCCGCCTACCTCCCCAGAACAAAATATGAGTGCCCCCCCCAAAAAAAAATACAATTTTTTTTTAAAATAAATAAAAAAAATATTTAAAAAAATAATAAAAAATAATAATAAATAAAACACAATAATAAATAACTAAAATAAAATAAAAAAAAGTATAAAAAAAAATAATTATGAACCGGCCCTAAAGAAAACTTTATTCACTACCTTTTCACATGTCAGAACTATCAAAATCAACTACTCATTTTTACGTTCAAGGATACGATGTCAAAACTACTCTATACAGTATCGATGCATTGAATAACTCAACTAATAGTAACATTCTCAACTCATTACACAGTTAATTTCTAAAATGATTATCATCCTTACATATACTATCCCAAAAAAGAAACGCGTAGGCCAGAAATCTGTTGCGAAAATGTTGTATTTTCAAACATGTATAACTCGTCCACAAATATACTTTAGTACATGAATTTTTACACCAGTTATGAAGAAGGTAATGTCTATACAACCAAGTGGATACTTTTAGATAACGGAGACGCTGCGAGCGATGGTGACTACGTAGCATGGTCCCGACGTCGGGTCTCCTGGCTCTCAGAACAATCTCTTTCAACCTGTTCCGTACAGTTTGACCGGATATCCTCCGAAGTTCAGGCACCCTGGTTGCTGTGCTTTCACCCGTGGCAGTACGATCACACAAATGTAGTACCCGGGTGTACCGATCTTGGGCTGCAGTAGTGACTCGAGGTCTGCCTGTACGGACACGGTCATTTGATATACCTGTTTGGTTGTAAGGAGCTACAAGCCGTGATGTCGTGCTCAGCCTAACATTCAGATTGGTAATCTCCAGCGTGCATTCTTTCAATGGCGATGTTCCGTGTCGCAGCGTCAAGACCTAGCGTAGTGATTTGACCTTGAAACTCAATCAAAACGATTTCCGAAAATAATCTGGATTTTTATAGCCAGACAGTGCATGCTCTTTGCTGCTCCATTTCAACTGGAAGGTGATTTCTGTTGCGTTGTGGCGATGACCCTTTTTAATCCTTGTAAGAAATCTCACATTTTCAGGTAAAGTCGATTTTTTTACTTGTGCAATTGTGTAAAATCAGCAATATCAATACTTTTGTTATATATTTTGACCATTGTTTGAACACAATAGCTAATATATAGATTTAAAAAAATACAAATCGCCTATGCGTTTCTTTTTGGGGGATAGTATATATACTCAATGTACCTCACTTTTATATAATTGGACTTAGTGCTGCAGCTCATTTCGTGGCTTGGCAGGACCAACACCATAAGGAACATATATTCAATATTCAATCATATATCAGATATAATGTATGATGTTCTCTCAATATTCTTTCTCAGTATTATTCTTTTGATGTTAAATTATTTCATTTATGTATCCAGCTATTGGAATAATGTACTGTAATGTACCGTCTCTCCAGGTTTCAGGTTTTGAAAAATAAAAAAAATATTTAAACCAAAATCATTTACAGTTCTCAAGAGGATCCTATATATGTACATATATTGGACCCAAATGTGATACATATCATAAAGTTCATAGTTCGAATCCAGGATGGAACTCAAACAAGAAAGTACTAGAATCTGTACTTTGCCAAAAAAAGTGAAATCCCAGCTACAACAGGTGTGATACTTCGTAGAGGTTACAACGTATAGTGAAACCGTTTGTATACTACTGACAAAGCAGGGTTATAATTAGCCAGAGTCTTGCATTAGGATCCGTGATCAGTGGACCCATGCTGGACAAATACTGTTAATTGCGACGTGAACCCAAATACCCCCACTCACACTTCATAACATCGAGTCACGATTCTGCTGAAAATATTTCAGGATTCTGGCAAAACTCAAGATCAACAAGAAAACCAAACAAAAAAAAACATTTCATTTTCAGTCGTAAATCCCATCTGGTTTGATTAACATTTATTCTATATGATTTCTGCTGTCCGCTGTATGAATGATGAAAACATCATAAGCGACGAAGAGAAGCTGATATGAAAAATGTACAAAGCTATTGTTTAGAAAACACTTTACTATTTTGCCAAATGTTGATGAGCTAGTCAACAATGTTATCAGTGAGTTCCAGTTGATCATGATATGTTTACCATTGTTGGATATACTTGTGCACCAGCTGGTCCTCAAGTTAATACTTTTCGTTGCCATGACAACCGAAAACTTCATCGTCGCCGATTACTGGCTGTTGCAAGTGAACAAGAAAAATATAATCCACCCAAAAGTACTTCAAGAAAACTTAAATGCGAGGCACCAGCACGGCGGTAACACAGTATTATATCCTCATTAAATTGACAAACAATAAACAATTAATTACATTAAAACAATTTTCAAAATGTGTAATCAATACAGGCATGTTTAAACAATATGAGCAATACTGGTTTTCATTCATTCCTTGTTTTACATCTTCTTCCTGTATTTGATTACTACGCGATTACATCCTTTAGAAACCCGTGAAAATCCGGATTAGAACTGATCTTCAGTAACCCTTGCTTAGCTTGCTTGTCGTAAGAGGCGACTAACGGGATCTGGTGGTCGGGGTCGCTGACTTGGTTAACACATGTCATCGTATCCCAATTGCGTAAAACGAAGCTCATGATGTTGATCACTGCATTGTCTGGTCCAGACTTTATTTTTTACAAACCGCCGCCATTTTGCTTTACTATTACCGAGTGCGTC